AATATAAATTTTATATTATATATTTTCTAGTTTACGTCATTTGGTAGTTGCTTTAAGGAGAAGGATTCAGAGTTTGGAGAGAGATTTAGAGGAGTGTCGAGAGAATGCAGTAGAGCAGGTGCAGAGAAGATGGTTGTTAGAACAACGGTATGCAAGATTGGTGGGGGAGAGAAATTGATTAAGGGCAAGTGTGGTGAATTATGAGGAGGAGTTGAGAAGGTTGCAAGAAGAACGAGGAGGGGATAATGATGGGGATAGGTTTATAGATTATGGTCTTTAAGAAGTTATATATATATTTTTTTGTTGTTTTTTTTTTTTTTTTTTTTTTTTCATCATTTTTTTTTTTGTAAATATTTTTTCATTTTTCTTCATTTTTTTTTTTTGTATATATTTTTTTCATTTCGTTTTTATTATTTTTTTTTTTGATATAATAAAATATAAAATTTAGTTATAAAATATAATAATATGAAAAGTAAAATATAAGATAGTATTAAATATAATATGAAATTTAAGAGTAAAATAAAAAATAATAAAATTGTTTGATGAATATAAAAAGAAGAAGGACTGATATTTCAACTGAGGGCGTTGCTGAACTTGGTACCTAAGCAGAATGCTCACCCCAGCCAGATTCGAACGTATGACCTCTACAATCTGGTAATACGCCTAATACCGTTAATCCATATCAGGAATAATTACTAATTCAAATTTTGTACTCCTTATGAAGATTAATGAAATTTTCTAATTGTCCAATAAAATTTTATAATTTTACATGATCATGATTATAAATAAATATTTTTTCGATAATCTATGTAGTAGAGTTTGATGGTTGTAATAATTGTTTAAAGTTTTTCTCATTTAAATAATATATATATTTAGGCTTTAATCTCTTTGTTCTATAGATTTTATGATATCCAACTGTACTAAATAAATAGTAGATTCTAATCCACATAATTTTTGTTTTCGGATGAACTTGAATCTCTTTATCATGTGGACAAGCTAATACCAATGATCCTAAATGATAGGAATAAGCAAGCATCTTTATTCTATAACCATGTTTTGCTTCCTTATATAGTTGGTAAGTTTCATTAAAGCATTTAGACCAAGTATTATCAATTAACATAGGTACAGTTACAGGATATATTTGTCCAGTAGAGGATTCATTTAAATCCTTTAGAATTAATCTAAAAAGATTCTTTTGGGTCATCATTTTCTTAGAAGAATTTACTAAAGAAGAATGTCTGCTTTAGATAAGAGTACTGTTCTTTGGTATGTATAAATGTGCTATTAATTTAGAAGCTGTTTGTCACAATGCAACCACTTATGCTTTCACTTCTAAATTCTAATTTTCAGAAATAGAAATATATCTCAAAATGTTACTATGACAATAGGCTTTGTCACTTAAGAAAAAATTGTAGAGAGAGTCTTTCTGGTTCTAAAGGAGGTCAAAACGCTAAAATTGGTCTAGTGGTTGTCAAGTTATGAGTGATTAAAGTTTGTGTAATGATAGTCAGAAAGGTTTCTCCAAGAAGGTTTTCTTGTAAATTTTTTGAAGATCATTTAAATTCTACAATTGTCCAATAGAATTATTAAATTTCATATGATTTAAAAATGTGACTTGTGTAATATAAGGGGTAATAAAATGTTTGAAGTATAAAAAAGAATAAAATAAAAAGTTTTTTTTTTTTTTTTTTTTTTTTTTTAAGTTCAAAAAATTAAAAATTTTCGTCTATGTGGCGCAGTAAGAAAAATTATATTTTAGATAAAACTTTATAGATGTTGAAAATGCCATCAGAACTTCAGAGCCAATTTGCGGGTCAACTAAGCATTTTCGTACTAAGATATGGTATAATAAGAAATGTAGAAAAGGTTCTTGCGAGTAGAACGGTATGTGTTTCATATTTCTACGACCAAAATTCGTAGGGATATTGGTAAAAACGAAATGCTTTTAAAAATCGTTTTTGTAATTTTCAAAAGGAATCTTCCACCAGGTCAAATATTTGGTAGCATAAGTCAAGTATTGGTAAGAGTTGAAGAGCTTCATTTTCATCAATTTTTAATTGCTTGACTTGATATAATGTCCTTTCTTTTCTACAATTTGAGTACCATTTGAATAGTTTTTCATCTTTACTCAATTTTTCTTTCTTGAAACTACTTTTACTTTGGCAACAAGAGACAAGACTATGTTTTTTATTGTCCGGTGTTAGAAATTCTTCAGACTTGACTGGTTGTGGGTCTTCTATTGCTTTTGAGTTATCTTGAATCAACTTTTTGAATTCATTAACTCTTTTATTCCAATCATCACAGGCTTTGTTCAAGTTTTCTAGTGCAAAATGTTGATAATTTTGTATATCAGGATCCTTATTTTCTACAACTTTTTTGGCTTCCATTCTATAACTATCTAAGTCAGATTGTTCATTTAATTGACTATCTTTAGCTGAATTTGAGCAACATTCCAATACTGAATTTTCATCTTTTTCAAGATCAATTTCATGTTGAGGACAATTTTCATCAGTATGTATACTAGTAGGAGAATATTTTTCAATACTTTTCAAATTTTGTTCTAATGATTCATAATTGTCTTTCTCAACTTCATTTTTATCTTCATGATGAAGTTTAGGGTTTTCAAACTTTAGTGCTTCTAAATATTCATCAATTAGATCTTCTAAAAAGACTTCATCAGAGTTATCAACTTCTACTTCTGAGTCAAGATAAAGGTCAATTATTTCAGCAATTGGGTCTTCTTTATTCTGAGATGGTGTTGAAGAATTTTTTGGGCTTGAAACTACTGAAGATGCCAGAAACAAATCCTCTTCTTTCACAGGTGGAGCCATTTGAATATAGGAGGGTAGGTATATAATTTCATCATCATCTTCTTCTAAGTTGTTATTTAAACTAATATCTTTTAATATTTCTAAAAGATATTTCAGGGCTTGTGGGTCATCAATACTACAGTTTCTTATAGTTTCATCAACCAATTCTTGAACTTCTGTGATTTGTTCTTCAGTAAGTGCATCTAACAACTCTAGGCATTCTAGTTGCATTGTTTGTATTTTTGGACAATTACTAATAGCATGGTTTTTCTTTTTACAATAGAGACACATAGTTCTTCTTTGAGGTCTTCTTGGATTAGTCCATTGTTTAGAGAAGCTTTTTGGAACTTGCTGATGATAAGGTACTTTTGGTTGAGTTCTATATTGCCAATAGTTTAGATTGGAGGTGATTGGTTTGTATTTTTCATACATTTCTTCTTTTCTTTTAAATTGTTCTAATATTGCACTTTAGGAAAGAAACAATTCTTTGCAATTCAAAATTGCTATCAGTATTTTAACGTCTAATAACTCTGCTCATAGGCACTTTTTACTAAGATATAGCTTAGTACAAAAAATGCAGAATGTTCTCAAGGGTATGTGTACAAAATTTCAGGTCAAACGGACCAAAATTGATGACTTTACTTATAACCAATTGAAATCAATTTCTGACGTTTTTAGAAAACTTATCTCTCAAATTCTTTAGAAATCAAAATCGCCGTCAACAATTTGACGTTCAATATCTCTGTTCACAAGCGTTTTCTACTAAGGTAAAGCTTAGTACAAAAGATGCGCAAGGTTTTCAAGAGTATGTATACCAAATTTCAAGTCAATCCAATCAAAATTGATCGACTTCTCTTATAACTAACTAAAAACAATTTCTGACGTTGGTAGAGAATGTATCTCACAGTCACCACCAAATTGTCAACCTGGAAATTCACCTCTTTCAGAACTTCAGGAGACTGCTGATTATAGTATGAAGACTATAACTTTACAG